AGCCTCCCAAGTAGCTGGGACTGCAGGTGCCCACCACAGCACCCAGCTATTTTTTTGTTGCAGTTGTCGTTGTTTTAGCTGTCCCTAGTTGGTTTCAAACCCATCAGCCTCGGTGTTTGTGGCTGGTGACATAACCACTGTGCTACAGCACTAAGCCAATTTCTTTTCTTTTCTTTTCTTTTTGAGACAGAGTCTCAAGCTGTCACCCTGCGTAGAGTGCTGTGGCATCATAGCTCACAGCAATCTCCAACTCTTGGACTCAAGCAAGCCTCTTGCCTCAGTTTTTGTTTTTAGCAGAGACAAGGTCTTGCTTTTGCTCAGGCTTGTCTCGAACTCATGAGCTCAAGCAATTCCCCCACCTCAGCCTCCCAGAATGTTAGGATTACAGGCGAGAATTTTCTTTTCACTTAACTATTTCATAGTGCGATGGTAGTCATATTCATTACTAAAGATTCTTTGGTCCTTGAAAATTAGTCTGTGATAAATTCATGTGGCTTCATTCATATTCTAAAGAGGCATATTTGGCTGATTAGATTTTTAAGGGGAAACACTCAAACACAAATACTTTCACTTTTTAAACTAGAATATGATCATTGTTCTTGAAAGTTAAGATACCAGGTAGGTAAAAAATTGTCCACATCCTAAGAAGACTTGTTAATATTTTGCTACATTTAATTTTGTATATTTTTCTTTGCATTTTTAAAAACATGACTATAATGTGCATATAGTAAATTTGTTCCCTGGAGCATATTTCCAGAATAATAACTTCGGGTAATATAATATGTTAGTGTGGTTAGATTCATCATGTTTTTTCTAAAACTTAAGGTTTTGTTCCAGAGTTACTGAATATGTGACTATGTCTCTCTATTTTCTTACTCCTTACTGTCGTGAGGAGTCAATGAACAAGCTGGAGAGCCCTAACTTGTATTGACTCTTAATAAGTGCTTAGGAAATGTCAGCTCCTCTTTTCCTTGTTGGTTTAAATTTTCTTGGGAGACTGTTCCCTGTAGTTATTTAATTCTTTAACTAAAATATAAAGCTTTATGGTTCTTTTCCATAAAAGAATTTTAATGTTACAAAACCCAAGAATGTTACTTTTTTAAAAGAACTTGGTTACGTGTTTGTTTATATTTCTTTGAAAAATACAGTTAAGTTTTTAGAAACTAGAATTATATATGAGAAAGACATTTTTTTAAAAAATGTAGCTCTTCAAAATTAATCTCCTGTAGTGATCTGAAGCTATGCTTTACAAATTTGCTTTGATAACCAGTGAAAGCCTGTTATCATTCTCCATTTGATAGGCAAATCATGTTAGCGATTTCACAAATTGACTTTCTTTGAAGGGAGATTCCCATATACATATAGGACAGGAGTTCTACATTCTTTGAAGGGGGATATTCATATATAGAACAGAAGTACATATTTCTAGACTTAAAATACTGTTGGAAAAGTTTTATCGTCTTCCAGTCAAACACGTTTTAGCACTTTGCTAATTTTTTGTCATTTTATTTTTTAGAATGAACCTAGTGATCGAGAAGATGGCCTCACCAAGAGACATCACGTGACAGACTCAGAGAATGATGAGCCCTCAAATCTTAATGCCAGTGACTCCGAAAGTGAGGAGCTTCACAGGCAAAAGGACAGTGACTCTGAATCTGAGGAACGTGCAGAGCCTCCTGCGAGTGATTCTGAGAATGAAGATGTCAATCAGCATGAGAGTGACTCTGAGGGTGAGGAGACCAGGAAATTAACTGGTAGTGACTCGGAAAATGAGGAACTTCTTAATGGACATGCAAGTGACTCGGAAAATGAAGACATTAGAAAGCATCCTGCCAGTGATTCTGAGATTGAAGAGCTCCCGAAGAGTCCTGCCAGTGACTCTGAAACAGAGGATGCTCTAAAACCTCCAGTCAGTGACTCTGAGAGTGAGGAACCCCCACCGCACCAGGCCAGTGACTCAGAAAATGAGGAGCCTTCCAAACCTCGGACAAGTGATTCAGAAAGTGAAGAGCTTCGTAAACCTCGGATCAGTGACTCTGAGAGCGAGGAACCCCAACGGCACCAGGCCAGTGACTCAGAAAATGAGGAACTTCCCAAACCCCGTATCAGTGACTCAGAAAGTGAGGACCCTCCAAGGCACCAGGCCAGTGACTCAGAAAATGAGGAACTTCCCAAACCCCGTATCAGTGACTCGGAAAGTGAGGACCCTCCAAGGCATCAGGCCAGTGACTCAGAAAATGAAGAGCTTCCCAAACCCCGTATTAGTGATTCGGAAAGTGAGGATCCCCCAAGGAATCAGGCCAGTGATTCTGAAAATGAGGAGCTACCTAAGCCCCGAGTAAGTGACTCCGAGAGTGAGGAGCCTCCAAAGGAACCTGCCAGTGATTCAGAAACTGAAGATGTCTCCAGACACAAACCGAAGCCAGAGTCGGATGATGACAGTGATGGGGACAATAGGGGAGAGGATGCAGAAATGCACACTGACTCCTTTCATTCAGATGGTCATACGGACAGAAAAAGATTTCACAGTTCTGACAGTGAGGAGGAAGAACCCAAAAGGCAAAAACTTGACAGTGACGAAGATGAGGGAAGAGAGGGTGAGGCGGAGAAAGTAGCAAAGCGAAAAGCTGCTGTGCTTTCGGATAGTGAAGACGAAGAGAAAGCATGTAAGGTGTTATTGGGGCTGTTGAGCAGTAGCTTTACTGATTATCTCTTAGAACTGAAAAATTGTGTCCTGTAGTCTGTCATTCAGCTTGGTACTCTAAAATATCATGAGGACAGTCATTTCCTCTGGGTGGCATTGGCTAAGCTAGTATTAAATTTCCTTTGAGTTGTCGTAGTATCACCTGTTACTTTTGGACTCCCTCAAAGTGATAAGCTAGACCAGACGTCAGTGGGGATATAAAAGACTTTGTTTCTGTTTAAAACTGGAAAGAGAGATGTTTCTATGAAGTGTGTTTACATGATACTCCTGACTGTGACTAGAGTTGGCTGTGGGTCTCTAATAGCTAACTCACTCGATCCCATCCCAGATTGGGAGCCCACCCAGATGCTTCTCTTTTTTGTTCAACATTGTTGAATGTCCAAATTCAAGGAAATATTGGGAAGATTCTATTTAGAGACTCCATGTCTGCGCAGAGTATTTGAGTCTTTGCTATCTGAGACCTCATTTTCACAGATAGTAATTTTTACTTGATGCCTTTTTATGAAACTCATCTTTTTTCTTTTTTCTTTTTTTGCAGTTTTTGGCTGGGGCTGGGTTTGAACCTGCCACCTCTCTGGCATATGGGGCCAGCGCCCTACTTCTTTGAGCCACAGGTGCTGCCCCCAAACTCATCTTTTTTGAAAAAGATATATTCCCATATAAACTGACAGTTATTAGTAGAGAAGGAAAAAGAGTACCATGCATACTGCCAGTTCTTTAAGGTAGATGCAGAATTTCCTTAAGGCTAAGGAACATGGGAAATATTCCTAAAAAGTAATACCTAACCCTTTTTAGTTCTTCTAATACTAGGCAACATGGGAAGGGTGGCAGTTTTGCTCATCAGTACAACCTTAATTTTCTCTATTTACCAAAAGGAAAGTAACTATTTATGCTCACTTTCATGTTGGTTTCTTTCTTCTTTTGGCCACTATTTCAAACTTAGCAAAATAACAGATAATTCGTAAGATGGTTCTGAATGAGTTTTTTGTCTTCTAAATCACATTTGAGGAGGCCCTTTGATTTATTGACATGTGTTGCCATTTTAAAGCACCTATTACACTTAATAATAACCATAACAAATCAAGACTAATGATTTTCTTTTTCAACAGCAGCAAAGAAGAGTCGTGTTGTCTCTGATGCAGATGACTCTGACAGTGATGCTGTATCAGATAAGTCGGGCAAAAGAGAGAAGACAGTAGCATCTGATAGTGAAGAAGAAGCAGGGAAAGAAGAGTTGTCAGATAAGAAAAATGAAGAGAAAGATCTATTTGGGAGTGATAGTGAGTCAGGCAATGAGGAAGAGTAAGTGACAATGTAACATGAGTTTTTTTTCAAGGGTTCTTAATTAGGCAGCAGAGAGGGCTTTGTCTCTCAAGTTTTTTAAACTTGTATTAAAATTTCATGTTGATAAAATACACTATGCACTTCCTGATTGCATGACTTTAAGGATTTAGAATTATGTTCCTGCATTATTGCTACAGACTACAACATGGGTGAATCTCAAAAATCACATGTTAAGAGAAAGAAGCAAAGAGTGCACATCACTTGATTCTGTTTACATAAAGTTTAAGAATAGATGAAACTAATTTATGGTGATGGAAACGACAGTGATGGTTGTCTCTCGGATTTTGATATTGGGAGTCTGACTAGAAGGGGCCATAAAGAAACTGTCTAGGGAGATGAGATTGTTTTTTATTTTGGTTGGGGTGCCAGTTACATGAGTGTATGCATTTTATAAGCCATTGAGCGGGAAACTTAAGATTTGTACATTTTCTTATAAGTAAATTATACTCCATTTAAAAAAATGGTTCCTGGTTGAGCACCATTGGGCATTTAGTGGTGCACATCTGTAGTCCCTCTAAGATAGAAGGATCACTTCAGCCCAGGAGTTCAAGGCTACAGTGTGCTGTAATTACACTACCGCACTCCAGCCTAGTAGTAGAATTCTGTCCTAGTAGAGAATTCTGTCTCTTCAAATGAATGTTTTTATATTTGTTTCTTTTCTAGAAATCTTATTGCAGATATATTTGGAGAATCTGGTGATGAAGAGGAAGAAGAGTTTACAGTAAGTATAAGATGGAAATATTTACTTTTTTTTTTTTTTTTTGAGACAAGCTGTCACCCTGGGTAGAGTGCCGTGGCGTCACAGCTCACCCAGTTATTTATTTATTTTTTTGGTTGTAGTCGTCATTGTTGTTTGGCAGTCCCAGGCTGGATTTGAACCTGTCAGCTCCAATGTATGTGGCTGGCGGCCTAGCAGCTTGAGCTACAAGCACTGAGCTGAAATCCTTTTTCATTATGCTTTTTTTTTTTTTTAGAGACAGAGTCTCACTTTGTCACCCTTGGTAGAGTACTGTGGCATCACGACTCACAGCAATCTCCAGCTCTTGGGCTTAGGCAATTCTCTTGCCTCCGTCTCCTGAGTAGCTAAGGCTACAGGCGCCTGCCACAACTCCTAGCTATTTTTTTATTGCAGTTTGGCCGGGGCCGGGTTTGAACCTGCCACCCTTGGTATATGGGGCCAGTACCCCTACTCACTGAGCTACAGGCGCTGCCCTCATTATGCTTTTTGTTTGTTTCTGTGGCACTGGTTCTCTAATAGGTGATTCCAATAAGTAAAAATAAACAACTTTGATGTAGTTAAAAGTCTCAAAAGGGATTCACAAAGTAAAATATAAGGATATACCAGTGGTTCTCAGCCTTCCTAAGGCCGTGGTGTATTTTCATTATTACAAAAGGGTTGCGACCCACAGGTTGAGAATTGCTGGTATATACAAAGGTATGAAGGAAAATAATAGGCAAAATTGAATTCAAAGCGGGGAGGAACATATCAAGAAACCATGGGCTTGGCGCCTGTGGCTCAAGTGGCTAAGGCGCCAGCCATGTACACCCAAGGTGGCGGTTTCGAATCCAGCCCAGGCCCGCCAAACAACAATGACGGCTGCAACCAAAAAAAAATAGCCAGGCGTTGTGGTGGGCGCCTGTGGTCCCAGCTACTTGGGAGGCTGAGGCAGGAGACTGGCTTGAGCCCAGGTGTTGGAGGTTGCTGTGAGCTGTGATGTCATGGTACTCTACCCAGTGGGGACAGCTTGAGGCTCCCATCTCAAAAAAAAAAAAAAAAAAAAAGAAACCATGAAAGACACTTCGTAATGCTAAAGGAAGTCATGATTCTTACAGAGGCGATCTAGGTCATTTGGACTAAGCCTTATGCTAAGGACAGTTAGAAAAAGTGGACAGAATATTTAGAAATATGCTCATTATTGAGCCAATAAGGTAGCAAAGAACTATTAAGCCAGAAGACAAACCTAAAGGTAGTGACTCAGCATTTAGAACTCTTGTCCTGTTGGGGTATTTGCTGGTCAGCTTGAGAGGCTGCTTGTATTTTTGATAGGCTTGGGAACAAAAGTTCAAGTTTAGGGCCTGTTGAGGTTGGGGACCTTGTAAACCCTGTGCCCCAGATTAGGATTATAGAGAGCAGTACCCTTAAGATTAAGAGTGAACTGGAAGTAAAATAGTCTTTGGTTAGATTTTAGCATCTGTGAATCATCTTATAGACTAAAGGACCTTAGTCTGAGAAATTTGATGGCAGTGATTCTAGTTTTTCATGTATGCAGTATGATACACAGTCAAAGAAAACATTAATAGGATGTAGGGGTTAACAACAGACAATAGAAATAGACCTAGGACGCTAGGTAGATAATTGGCGTTTTAATGGTCACCTTAGAAAGTATACGGGGAGGCTTGGCACCTGTGGCTCAAGTGGCTAAGGCACCAGCCACATACACCTAAGGTGGCGAGTTCTAATCCAGCCCGGACCCGCCAAACAACAATGACAGCTGCAACCAAAAAATAGCCGGGCATTGTGGCTGGCACCTGTGGTCCCAGCTACTTGGGAGGCTGGGGCAGGAGAGTCGCTTGAGCCCAGGAGTTGGAGGTTGCTGTGAGCTGTGAAGCCATGGCACTCTAACCAGGGGGATAGCTTGAGGCTCTGTCTCAAAAAAAAAAAAAGTATAGGGGAAATAAAGTAAAAGATTTGAAATGTTGTTGGAGCAAACAGTTTTTAAAAGGACAAGGCAGATTTGGAGAAGAACCAAGTAGAAATTTCAGAACTATGAAAAATATAATAACGAAATTAAAAACTCAGTGGTTGATGGGGCTTCCCTCTTGGATAAGCTCAATGGATGGGTTTAACAACAGGCTAGACGTATTTGAAGAGAAAATTAGTAAACTGGAAGATAAGAGAAAATATTTAGATTGAAGCATTGAGATACAATATTATGGAAAATTAAAAAAATAAAAGATGTAGACTGTAATATGGAAAGGTTTAAGAAAAATGCATAATTGAGGGGAAATTATATATATAGCAGAACAATATTTGAAGAAATCATAAATAAGGCTATAAATTCTAGAAGTCCTACAAATTGCCAGGAGGATAAATAAAAGAAATCTTTATCTAAATACTTTAAGAAAACTGCAGGACATCAAAGAAAATAAGGAAGTCTTGGCTCAGCACCTATGGCTCAAGCGGCTAAGGCGCCAGCCACATACACCTAAGGTGGCGGGTTTGAATCCAGCCTGGGCCCTCCAAACAACAGTGAGGGCTGCAACCAAAAAATAGCCAGGCCTTGTGGCAGGCACCTGTGGTCCCAGCTACCTGGGACCCTGAGGCAGGAGACTCGCTTGAGCCCAGGAGTTGGAGGTTGCTGTGAGCTGTGATGCCACAACACTCTACCCAGGGGGATAGCTTGAGGCTCTGTC